GAAAGTTGACATTTTAAACCTTAATTAAAAATTGATACAGGGCTTTAGAATATCGATACAGTATCGGGAAATGAAATATCGCGATATTTCAGTGTATTGATATTTTCTTACACCCCTACTAGATACAAGCGGCCAAAATGAGCTTCCTTTGTAGGGTGGCCAAGACTCAGCCTTTAGAGATGGGGTGAGGAGCTCCGTCATCTGGGGGAGCTCAGAGCTGCTGCTCCTTTGCCCCGAAAGGAGTCAGTTGAGGTGGTTCATCTGATTAGGATGCCTCCTTTTAGAGGAGTTCTGGGCAAGTCCCACTGGTAGGAGGCCTCGGGGAAGACCCAAGACTCTCTGGTCTGGGAAGCCTCTCCTGGTCCTGTTGCCACCTAAATTATTGGCATTTAATTATAAAAAAAATTGTATTTTCTTTCCACCTTAAAAGATAATTAAGGCAGAACAACTGCTCGGGGCTGATAACTGAGCCAGATTCCCCATCTAACTTAAGTCGGTGTCTTTTTTTGTTGTTGTTGATAACAGCAACACAATCAGCCGCAGACGAACAAAACGTTGACGATGCTGTGCAGCTGGAGCAGCGACCGGACTTATCTTCCTCCTGCCAGTCTCCACGGAGGTGTTGCCCCGGTGACTGTTGCTGACGTGTGACTCAGCATTTTGCTCCTCTCTCGACAGACAGCCTAACGCCTCCTCCCCAGAGGCGCCTCRCCACGCACGTCCTCCAGGGACAGCGGGTGGTCGATACCTGGATGGCTTCGTGGCCAAACGTCTCGACATACAGCGGCTCGGACACGTGCGGCGTGGAGCTTTACACTCGCCATAAATAACACAACTGTAAAAACATGCAGCACGTCAGGTTGTGTTAAACTGTCAGCTAAACACACGCCTAGAGTTTATGTAGATAATAAATGTTTAATATGAAAACAGCAATAACTCAGTTGAAGTTTGTGCTCAAAATAATGTGACCAAGTGTCAGTGAGTGTGACTCACCGTTTACAAACTGCTTATTTTGGTACTATGTGTTCACTTTTGTGAGATTTCATAGGAAGTGTAAGTATCACAGCAGCTGCTATTGTTAGTGAGGATGGAACAGTTTATAAGCTTTTTAAAAAGTCACGAAAAAGGCTACAAACTGTTGGAAACCATGAATCTGCATGTGGACATTACCCGTGCAAAGATTCATCCTAGAGGTCGATCGATACATCGGCCAGCCGATGTTTGTGGGGTTTTCATGCATCGTCTGATACATGCATACGTTCGCCGATCCATTAGCGCSTTCAGCAGCCATGACTTGAGATCACCGCATTGCTTCTCCCTCCCTGGCAGAGAGCTGCTAGTAAGACTGAGTTACAACGACGGGTAAGTTTTCAACTTTCAGTCTATTTTCAACGTTGTAACTTCGCTGTATCTGCCCTTTTGAAAGTCTTTCTCTATAAATGTATTAGGGATGCACTAGTGCTGTGCGGTATACCGTTTTGTACCGAATACCGGTTTTTATTTTTGTTATGAATTTTCTGAATACCGGACATGACGGTTTAAATAGCGGAACATGTGCAGAACGTTTCATCGTGGCCGCCAATGAGCTGTTTCCCGGGGGACAGTTTTCCTCGCAGCACCGCTATGTGCGTTAGCATGCTAATGTTATTGTTGAACAGCTTCAGAGGCAGGTGGCGATTTCGCTGCTTATATTGACTGACTTTAAAAAAACATCCCGATTTCTCCATCGCTGAATGTAGTAAACACCTCTTCAGTGACGTGAACAGTTAGATTTAATGCGCGACGTTAATATGGAGACGTTATGCTGATGGAGACTTAATGTGGTTCTATTGTGAAAAGCCCGGAGAAAGTAGTTTGTAATGGATTTGGAAATGACTGGTGTGCGAGGTGAGTCGTGCTGATAATCTTTATTAAATAACATAAAACAATAGACCCGATCATAATCTTTTCGTAACCCTCCTCCTTCACGACCGGACCAAAATGTGTGACTACTGTCTACAACCAGGAGGAGAAAAGACACATAGAGGAGGGAAACAGAGACACAGACAGAGGTACAGTAAAAGAAAAAAGTTAATAAGCAGTGTTTGTACATTTTATTATCAGCTGACCTGTGATGCAAAGAAAAATACCGTCAAATACCATCAAACCGGTGTAAATGTTGAAAATACCGTGATATAAATTTTTGGCCATACTGCGCAGCTCTAGGATGCACAATATATCGTCATTAATATCGGTATTGAACGATATAGGTCTTTTTTTAGAATATCGGTATCGGTCCGACATGTAAAACTGGGCCGATATTACCATCCGATATTGATTTCCCACTTTTTATCTTTGTGTTTCTGTTTTGGAGTGGAGATAGTTGGTTGAGCAGCATCTGTTTGATCATGATAGTGATATTGATGCTGCACAGCCAGGAATAACTGAAGTAAAGCCATGGCAGAGGTCGGTTCTTTATTTATGGTATCATAAAAAGACTAAAGTGTGTTTGTGCGTATATGTGTAATATAATTTGTGTGTTTGTGTAATATCTGTAAATATCGGTTATTGGCCATAACAGCAATAATTATATCAATATCGGCTGAAATTTTCATATCGTTGCATCCCTAAAGTCTGTCATGTAAAATGGAGGAAGAAAAWRCAAAATAGGCTTCAAGATTCGGCCCAAAAAATCGGCAGCACATATCGGGGATMAATTTTAAACTGAKGTCAAAATAATCTGTATCGGCGTTGGTCTAAAAAGAAAAAAATAAAACTATTAGTYGATCTCTAATTCATTCAGCTGAAACAAAAACTCAGATTTTGTGAAACAAATAAAACTGTCTGCCTGGTCAGTTCACGACTGTGATGCGATGTGCTGAAGTTTCACRCTGAAAACTGACTGACTTTGAACAAGCTTTATGTGGAAACTGATCAGGAAATAACATTGTTCCTTGTCCTGCCACATGTGAAGTGAAAGAAGTGATAGAGCTGACTAAGGATGTCTTACTAACAGATGGTCAAGCGTACACAGGAAACACACATGCCTAATATCTGTTGTGCTACATCAGCTTAAATCTACTTTTCTTCCTCTTCTGAGTTGGCAACTTTTTAATCCAAGCACCAGAAACCAAAAACATTAATGAAAACTGGATTATTTCATAGCAGGAAAAACTATTGTGCAGCTTTAGCACTTTTTACAAGTCTTCAACTAACTGAGCAGAAACCCACGTCTGTTTTTTTTTTATTTACAGTATATATATATATATATATTCCTATCCTGTGGCCTTCATAGATCATGACCTCTGAAAGTCTAAAACAGAGATATTGGATGGTGGCTAAATAATCACAGTCAGTCCATTTACCACATGGAGTCTCTTTCTGACTATAAACATGTAACAAAACTATTTTCTATTAATGCTTTCAGACTTGTTGTGTCTCCACCCTCCAGGCTAAAACTGCCTCAGTATCTCCAGGTTGTTATCAGTGTTCAGTTATTGTCCACCACAGTATTGTTTCATGTGTGGTTATTCCCATCTTGTCCACAGGGGAGTGCTGTATGTGAGCGTTTGATCCAGCAGCAGTATCGTTGTTCTAATTTTTGTTGTGTTGTTTTTACCCCGTCTAAATTTATGTTATATAATAARTCTTCCAAATGTCTCATTGTGATWATTTTCCTGCTTATTTGCTATTTCTAAAAGGAATTTTGGCATGTTGTATAAAATCTGACTGCTTAATAGAGAAATACATTTATTCTGAAATCTAATTTCTAGATGTAAGTTTGTTCATTGTATGTTTTTTCAAGACGGTTACTCAAATTTCTGAAAATGTTTACATTTGATATGTGTCAATAACGTACTCAGAAAAAAGTAAAGGTACATTTTCTTTATAGGAAAATATATTTTTTGTTTTTAAATCATGTAGAGTGTTTGAAGCTCTTCCCACATGTTTGTTCTGCTGATGTCCTAGTTTAGTTTTCCTAAACCAGGGGTCTCCAACCTTTTTTTTCCTTAAGAGCTACTTTCACCAAATGAAATTGTCCAATAGCTACTTTTTGCAACATTGAGTTTTAAACTTTAACCATTTGAATAAGCTTGTTTTGCACAACAAACATTGTCTTCAGTTCACATGAAACCACCACAAAGAACACTGAATTAACATGAATGTGCTTTTTGTGCTTATCCATATTATTTCACACGACTAACTTAGGGTTTAACTGTGACAGATTTGTGCACAAATAACATCAGGTGATGGGTCTCTGATTTATTTTTTCTGCGTTGTAGACTCCAGCAGGAAGAAACCCCGTGCAGTGACGTATACCACAGCAGTAGGGGTTTCACAGGAGCTCGGCACAGTGTGTCTCAAAGAGCTATGAAAAGTTTGTGAGAAAATGTTGAACAACCACGCATCGTCTGGCGATCAATCATACTGAGCCCTAAACGTTTGATTGACAACCAAGGGGAAGGGACATTTATAGATTTATAGATTGATTGGAATTAAATGAAAGTTTGTTTGGCCATGACAAATTACATTTTGCTTCTCCTAATTTTTCATAAGCACTGAAGAGCTACTTTAAATGAGCTCAGGAGCTACTGGTTGGAGACCCCTGTCCTAAACCATAAACATGTAGAAATGCTTCAGTTAACCTTCTAAAGTAACCAGCGAGCACTTTAAAAACCCTCTCCTCCTATCTGTGTACCTGACAGACTCGCGCCACTTTCTAGACTCGTCTCTGTCCTCACAGCACCCTCTATATCTCCACCACTCCCCCTCCCTCCTTATCACTCAGGGTAACGGCGTGTTGCTAAATGGAGTCGGAGCAGCTGTACCACAGAGGCTACTGCAGGAACAGCTACAACAGCATCGCCAGCGCCAGCAGCGACGAGGAGCTGCTGGATGGAGCCGGCGTCATCATGGACTTCCACACCACCGAGGACGATAACCTGCTCGACGGGGACGCTGCCTCCCCAGGTAGGGAAGACGAGAGGCCTCCGAAGTCGTCTCCAAGTGTTTTTGTTTGGTCAGCCCCCCCACCAAGCTTGTCTGTCATAACTTCATCATGCTGTAGATTAAAGTTCAAGAGCTTCTCTGGTGAATTTGAGATGCATCTCGTAGTCCCCGCTTACGTGTTTTACTGACAGAAGCATCAACAAAAACAAGGAGCTAACATTTCTGAAAGGGATTCATATCACCTCTCATACCAGAGTTCTAAACCAAGATCATCTAAAGTTGAGAAATGACAGAATCATAGCCGTTTTGGTCAAACTTTGGAAAAGTAAACATTAAGCAGCTGAATCTCTTGATATTGCGAGTTGTTACGTTCAGAGTACAGGGGTGTCACCAAGGAGGGGCCAAGGGCGGCGATGGCCACCGCTAAAAGAAATTGACCCCCTTGTCCAGAAAGTTTCAAACTTTTGCTTGGTGTGCATTTTTWAATTTCCCATAGCTATTTTAGGATTGGTAAAACCTCCATAAACAAAAACATTGTTTTTTGAGCAATTAGGAGTTACAATTATAGCTGTCCCCAGACCAGTTTTTCTCTCAGTACGAGTACTWCAGTTTGGGTACTACCCAATACTGATACCAAGTACTTACTGAGTTAGAACTTAAATGTTACACAGTGACTTTAAAGTGCCTGTGACATGCCTGTCCATCAAATACAATTTTTTTTATAAAGAAACCTTGCATAAAACTTGATTTTACCCATTTTCTCCCATATCTGGCATATTTTCTTTTGAACTTGGCTCAGCCAAAGTGCAACAGGAAGTGACATCAAAGGGGAACTCCTCGAGAAAGAGAACTCTGTAATCTTTGTTTATTGAAACAATATTATTTGAACTCTGACTCATCTTCATCTCTCTGACAGTGGTTCAAATTAATCTAAAGAAACATCAGATTCTTCTCTGCAGTCTGTGTCGTTAGCCATTTTGTCAATGCTCTGTTCCATGCAGGCATTCCCCTTTGACATCACTTCCTGTTCCTTCACATGCAAATATCTCAACAACTGTTCTTCTCAGCAGCGGGAAATTATTTTTGCAATATGCTAGTCGTTATCTTTCCAATAATGCCTTTATATTTTAAAAAATTCATGTCACAGGCACTTCAAAAACAAATTGAATGTTTTTAGAACAAGGTGTCTCTCCTCTGACCATGGTGGGCACAGTCCTGCTCATCCGCTAACTAACCCGCTAAGAGCAAACTAATATTTTTAGCATTTGCATTAACTATAAATAAGTACATAATGTCTGCTATAATATTATTGTTTATTTTTCCCATTGCTAATCTTAAAATTCATGTCTTTTTTAATGACTTCAGTAATAATTCCTTTCACATGCAACAGTGACGTGTTTCTAAATAATACAGCCTATATTTACCTATTTAACCTATGACCTATTACCTAATTACCTATTATTTAGCGAAACGAAGCAGTCACTATCTGGAGTCACCTAATAGCTTTAGCAGTCAAGGTCAATGTTTTATTTTATCTTCTTTGTGATGTGACAAGTTTATTAAGTTTAAGTCTTTTTATTCCCCCGTCGAATGGATCCCTCAGAATAAATACATAATTATAGCTGTGCTTGAAGTGAACTCTATTTATCTGTCAGGCTGCTGTGTTTCATACCAAACTTATTCATGTTAGTCATTTGTTTTCATTCATTGAACAGTTYAGTTACATTTTCAGTCCCATTTTTGAATCCAGACTGGTGGATCTGGTTTGCTCTGGGGTTAGGTTTCGGGTAAGTGTCAGGATTAGACTACAGAAATGAGTGGAAGTCATAACACGGTCCYWATAAGTGTAGAAATAAACTTGTGTGTGTGCTTGCCTCAGCAAACATGAACATGTTTTAATGGCTCAGTGAGGTGAGTTAGCTGTAAATAAGCAGCAAACTAGTGTTCTCATTCAACTCAACACGAGATGAACTTTTTTTTGTTTAAACTTTTACACTCATAACTGAACTACAGTGATCATTAAATTGACTCCACTCTCTGGGGCTTTTGGAGGAGCTCACATAACATCACATGACTTTTTWTTTTWWATTTTTGTTTKTGTTTGACACGTCAGCAAGCACTGGGAAAGTAGAGAATATCTGTCTTTTCTTTCCTGGTCTGTAGGTTTCTGTGTCAATCTATTTTAGGGAACATTWTGTTCACTACCTCTAATATTATTCTAGATCTCCGTAACAAAATGTCACAAAACCTGTTGGAAGAGGTTAACTAAAGTTTTTTAAAAATCATTTCCTCATATGATGAAAATTTAAACATGTTCTAAAGAATCACTCCTGCTTTTTATTAAGTTGTATTGATTTAAATACATTTTTTCAGTAATTGTGCAATTTTGATTWAAGTGTAGCTCTGAATGAGAAAATTTGTAAATTCAAATTCAGAAATACTTTATTGATCCCAGAGGGAAATTTGGTAAAAAGGGATATTTGTCTTGAGAAACACTTGAATGCAGCTGTAACATTATTATTATTTTTTTGACGAAGGCTAATCTCGGTGAACGCTTCATGAAAACCGAACACTTGTGGTGAATACACAATAATTCATTTACCACAGTTTCTGTCTGTGAAGGATGATAGAACAGAACTTGCAGGCACAAAAACAAATGTCTGCTAATGGTGCTGGTCTGAGATTTTTATATTTCTCCTTTTTCCCCACCTGATCAGTGTGAATGGGTGTGAGCAAGTTSTGTCTGTAAAAGTGCAGCTCTGCCATGGTCAAATTTTATGACCCCTCATGGTTAATGTTGGGAATTTTAAGCAAAAACGCTCTTGGATTTGTCTTTTAATACTTTATTTTTCTTTTAATGTTTARTGAGCTCACATGTGGCGATGGTTTCCACTTTATAGTTGTTTCAAAGTAAAGTCCAGTGGTGCCAAAAAGTTTGYTGCAAGTTGCTGCTTTACTCTAGGAAATTCTGTGTTTTTTATTTTACTTATCACTTCCTTTTAAATAGGTAAATATAGGCTGTATTTAAATTTGTGTGTTTGTGTGAGTTTTAGTATCTTTGGCCTCTGCCTGCTCGTTAGCTTCACTTATGTATTAAGCTTGAGCTTTTGGGTTTGTACCAAGAAGAAACCTACATTTAGGCTTGACTTTCACCTTTAGTACTTATTGACTGTCAGCATGGGTTCTTGTACGGGARTGTGTACGGTTACACTTCAAGTTTCAGTAAAACATAAACAAATGCAAAATTACATTAAGGATGTGTAAGATCCATTACAAACTTTTCTTTGGCCCACTTTTTAAAATTGTTGAATTTGTAATAAAGCAATTTTGCATAGACTATATCTACCAGTTTGGTTAGTCTGGATTATTATTTGCAATCCTGTAAAACCAGTTTGGTGACCAGCTGGTGTAAACAAGTTTTTCTTGAAATTTGTATGTAATGCCATGTAGGTATGTCTTTTGYGTTGCTGTGTCTGCCTCCTTTTGTTTTTTTTAATGTAGTTGTAACTTGTGAGGGGTGTGTTCATAGGCACCTGTGTGAATCATTTTTACCAAGGTTGCAGTTTGATCAAAAGGCTCTGTGTTCTGTGATTAGGTTTCTGCTGGATGTTCATGTTAGCTCTGAAGAAACAGAAAACCTACTTGATTCTGCTTATACATAAGGAAAGAAGGGATCTCTCTGGCTGAATCAAATTTGATGGAAACTAGAGAAGCTCTTGTTGTTTTCCACACCTCGTGGTTTAGCTGCTGTCGTGTGTTCACTTGTTTTCCTTGTGGAAGAAGATGAAAAAAACTATGATTGAAATTTCCTCAAATGCTGCCAAATTGTAAGATATGGTGGTATAAATTTGACAAACTGCTATTCTATATAACCATCAACAAACAGATCTCAAAAATTTCCGTTAAGTATGGGAACTTCAAACAGAGTGTAAACCCATGTGAGAACACACCATTAAACAGAGTTTACTAAACACTGTGGAAATTCTGGGACTGGGGTTTGTTTTAGACTTTAAGTCACAATGTCACAACTTTAATCTAATCAAAAAGATTGTCTTGACATTAACTGTTTAACTTAAGTGATTTTTATTTTGACTTACTGACTTCAGCCTCAATGTATCAACTTCAGCCGCAATGTGTGAACTTCAGCCGCAATGTGTGAACTTCAGCCGCAATGTGTGAACTTCAGCCGCAATGTGTGAACTTCAGCCGCAATGTGTGAACTTCAGCCGCAATGTGTCATCATCAGCAGCAATGTGTCATCTTCAGCCGCAATATGTCAACATCAGTCTCAATGTATCAACTTCAGCCGCAATGTATCAACTTCAGCTGTGCCTTCAGATGTGATGTAATGACTCCGGACATGACATAACGACATCAGCCACAATGTATCAACTTCAGCTGCGAAGTAAGGACTTTGGCCTGGACATGGTGACTACAACCTGGACGTAGCAACTTTGGCTGTGACGTAACGGCTTTAGCTGCAACGTAAAGTCTTTGGCCACAATGTAACAACTTTGGCTGCGACATAACTTTGGCTGCGAAGTAACAACTTTGGCTGTGACGTAACAACTTTGGCTGTGACGTAACAACTTTGGCTGCGACGTAACAACTTTGGCTGCGACGTAACAACTTTGGCCGTGACGTAACAACTTTGGCCGTGACCTAACAACTTTGGCTGCGACGTAACTACTTTGGCTGCGATGTAACAACTTTGGCTGCGACCTAACAACGTTGGCTGCAACGTAACAACTTTGGCTGCGACATAACGACTTTGGCCGCGACGAAACAACTTTGGTTGCAATGCAACGACTCTGCTACATAAAGTTTTTGGCCACCATGTAACAACTTTGGCTGAGACATAACTTTGATTGCGACGTAACAACTTTGGCCGCGACGTATCAACTTTGGCCATGACATAACTTTGGCCGTGACGTAACAACTTTGGCCGCGATGTAACAACTTTGGCCGCGATGTAACAACTTTGGCCACGAAAAAAACGACTTTGGCTGCAATGCAACGAC